CCATTCCAAATTAGGACAGGGATTACTTCAAGCTGAAATAACATTACAAAAATATGAAATAAAAGGCATATAAGAAAACAGAAAATGAAAGTCAACACTTCCATTGCATTATTATTGAGGGCAATAGATGATTAACTTGGATTCATGGCATAATGTTTTCCAGGCCAAATAAGCCTGATTTCGATGGTCCAATGCCCGGCTCAAATATTTCTAATCAAGAGTTTACGCAGAAAACACAAATCATCTACTTAATTGTAGCTACTTGATGGAGGATGTAAATACTCAACTCATAAACCAGGTCACATTTATCAATGGGTGTAGGCAGCCAAGAAGCTAGCCCTAGCAATGTTTAAGCATCTAATTTGTGTACATGTTATGGAATATGTTACATCATTACAGCAAGTTGCCAAGTTGTATACAACATGGGATACCCAGTAGAGTTCTCATCAATCACTGTAAATTTTCTAAGCAAATTGCAATGCATATACCTTATCTAACAAAAATTACTTTGAACATGAATATTTAAACAGTAAATTAGAACAAAACAAGAAAGATAAAAAAAGGCATTTGCTAAATCAAGCACATAACCGGTGAAAGGATAATAAAGCGGTTTGCTTTTATGTGTGGATTGGTATTTCGTAGCAAAAAGGGTATGGGGATAGAGCAATAACTACGACCGACTTTCAACCATGACAAAACTTTGGAACATCTTCGAAAGAAATATTGACTTCAATTTTGATGGAGTATCGATTTGCATCTTAAATTTTGACAAATAATTAATTTCAAAGATTTTATGGTCAGTAAAGTATTGCATACTTGTTAGGAATGTTCTTTATCATAAGTGTTGTCCGGTTGTCTTCCCCTCGCATTATGCGGTCAATGTCAAGTTCAAACTGTTTCTTGTTGTCAGCCTGATTGGAATTGCCTTCATTTCTATGGCTTCTAGCCCGTTCATTAGGAGAATCGAATGGACTCATCATAGGAATCATTTGGCCTCCGCCAGGAAACATCAGGCACCCCTGATGAGGGGAGTGCAGACCAACATTTTGGGAGGGAATCGGAAGGTCCATGCAATTTCCACCAACACTAGGAAACATGTTTTGGGGGATAAATTCCAAATGATGTAGTGAGTTACCAGAAATTCTCATATTCCCAAGAGAACCACGATGAAAGCCAGAAGCATCGGGGGATTCCCCAGAATAGGTGTGTCGTCTTTCCCAGAGAGAAGGATTCACAGACGGTGCTGATCCAACATGGTGGTTATTCATGGGTAAAAGTGTGTTCATCATATGAGACGGTGCTCTGGGAAATGCATGCAACCGTGGAGGGGGATGAGTAGTGCAAACCCCATTGGGCCACATCATGCCTTGAGGCTGAGGGGGATTATTTGAATTACTCCAAATATAATGATGTCCAGGTGAACAGCTCCCATTTCTAGAGGAACCAAAAACTGAGAAACACATAATTAGAATATTAGAAAATCAAACAGTACGCACAACCCACTTGTTACATGAGTCACTGTACAAATCTTTTTCTCTTCGCTTTCTTGTACACAGTATTTCACTGAAAAAACTTAACATTACTAGTACGGCATGGGCTTGACCAGCCACTAAAAAGACAGAAAATTTCTTTGACATGCATAAAAGAAAACAATGTCACCTTGTTATCTAATGCACTTACCAGCATCATTCAGTTCAAGTGGATGCCCATTTGAGCTTACTCTACAGAACTGGCGATTCTCAATTCTTTCAGATGGACTGGCACTAATATTTGCAGCCATGCCCGGGGAATTACAAGAAGCACGATTAGTTAAACCATCCTGATACTCTGGAAGTGAATGAGGATGAAAATTGGGTGTTCCCTGGAATTCAATTTTTGGCTGGCCTGGTGAAAGGCCGGGCTCAGGGAGGCCGGATTGATTGCCAAGTAATTCAACTCTCACCAGAGAGGGTAAACTGTTAGGAATGCTAGATGAGATCCCATGATGGAACACTCTTCCATGA